ATTATGAAGCTACCAAAGAGCGGAGCAGAGAATTTGCAATGCCTATCTACTGGAGACTGCCTTTGGCATCATATTTAATTAAAAGAGGTGGCATTGAATATCTTGGGAACTTTTGCTAACTTTCTTTGAGTCATAAAATAATAAATAATAAATGTAGATACTTGATCTGACTTGAAAGTTTACACATTTCTATTTTGTCTTTCTGCAGATGAGGTGAGTCACACAGACTACGAGGACAAGTTCACAGATTCCTACATAGAGGCAGAGCGCCAACCTGAGACACCATTAGAGGCTCATGGCGATGTACACGAGGAAGTGTATGGAGCTGCGTACCCACATGGAGAGATGAGCGTGGAGCAGCAAGAGACGAGTTTTAGAGCCAAAGCTGAGGAGGACCATCGAGACCTGAGCAGAAAGCTTAAAGTGGGAGGAGAAGTGGCTGAAGATAGTGAAATATTTGAAGGAGCTTTAGTTAAACGAGAAAAAAATGAGGAACGGGCTGGTGAGGACTTGGTAGGTCCTCGGACGAGGCAGCAGGAGAGAACTGAGGTGGCCAAGATTGATACAGTGGAAGCCACAGAAGCACCCGTCTCTCTTCTCTCCCAGAAACACATGTTCTGGTTCCCCTCTGAGACCTTCCAGGAGGAAGAACCTCAGGTCTTCATCAATCCAGCCACGCAGACAACACAGAGAACCTCTGTTGACCGATCTGAGGAGAGCATTGAGCACACGAGTCAAGAAAGGCCCTATCGTCAACATCCCGTTGATGCTGATGATCCTGATCATGAAGGAGATGATTTTGATGATCCTGACACCAGCCGCCATGATGACCAGGACGACATCCTTGAAGATGACCACCATGACGATCAAGACGGCAGCCACCAAGAGGAAGACCACGATGAGCACAAGAGGCAACCAGGTCAAGATGAAGATTTGGACAAAAGGGAAAGCCATGAAAGCTATGACGATCACGAGGAGCATTATGACATGGGCGAACATGAGGAGGACCGTGATCGCAAGGAGTACGACGATCCAGATGATACTTACGACGGACAGAAAAGCCAGGAGGATCATGATGATCATAATGGAGAACATCATGAGGTCTCTGAGGAACATCTGGACCAGGATGACCATGATGACCATGATGACCATGATGACCACGATGACCACGATGACCACGATGACCACGATGACCGTGCCATACATTATGACGACACCCATTATGCTGACCTTGATGATCACGATGATTTTGGACACAAAGACGCTGAGAGCTATGACGATCACGATAGCCATGAAGATGATAGTCGTCGGCATGTTGTTTTTTCTGTGGTAGCCGATAAGCATCAGAACGTCACTCAGAGGGGAGCAGACGGAAAGTCAGCCACAGATGACACGTGGCTGGACGGTTACCCTGTTGTTTTCGAAAACGGTGACTCCGTAACAGAGAGGGTGAAACCAGAGGATAAAGACAGAAGGAGATTTGTCAAGACGACGCCCAGACCCACTGAGGTGGAAATTCCTAGACCTTACACCAGCTCGCCCAAGGAGCAAGAGTCTCTCACCACGGTGCGTGAATTCGAACTAGGGGTTTTAGAGGAGGTGTGGCCTGACTCCATCGGGACCCCTGCCCCTGACCTTCTGGAGCCTTCAGACTCTCCTTCATACTCTGAGACCGGAGACTACAGCACACAACAAGCAGTTCCCACCGACTCTTGGATGGCTGACATTACCGATCATCCCTTCCTTGATCATGGCCCAAGCCCTCCAGTGCACAAGGACGGCTTAGTGCTCAGCCTGCCTGGTGAGACTGGGGAGAGGGGAGAGCAGGAAGGGGAGATGGGAGAGACGATCTGTGTGGATGACGCCTGCCCTCCCCTCCCTCCGAGCTCTTCCGGTCGAGGCCCCACTGTGGCGGCCATTGTTGTGGCGATTTGTGTCATCGCAACTGCAGTCATTGTCGCGGTGTGGTGTTACCGACGACAGCAGCAGAAGAGTTCGGCGTATGAGATGAATGGGAAGGGCCAAAGTCAGGCCAGACAGGGCCAACAGATAGAGATGCAGCAAAAGGTGTAGGGGAGAGAGGTTGGCACAGACACTCTTCCTTTGGGAAGGATGGGAAGATTCAGTTGAAAACTGTTGATCTTAGGTATAAACTTTAAAAAAGCTAGCACAAAATATTGTAATGATGCTTAACATAGTGAAACTTGAATGAAACAAGATGGCAATAGTCCTGTCACTTAGTAGTTCTGAGGAAATCCACCAGTCCTTGTATGTTATCCATGATTTTTAAAGCTCTGGCATCTACCTGGACATAAACCAGGCTGGATTCAACTCCAGAAGCTGAGAAGCGAGACTTTAAAGATATTAACATGTAGGAAAACCACAACATGAGGCACAGCACTGCCTGAATATAGGAACTGAAACTTCATTCTCCAAAGCTCTTGGACATTTTGATGAAGATTTCTTGCTGTTGTTTTTGTTGAGTGCTTGTATTATTGCTGATGTGCATTGTTTGATATTCTGTGTATTGTGTTTATGGAAAAAAAAATGGTCTAGTTCACCACAGGAGGTTCGCGGGAGGACATGAAGAGTACTGAGAGGGGTGAGATGAAAGAAAAGAGGCTGGTGAAAGGTGTAAATAAGAGGTGGAGTCTGATGGGAGAAATATTTCTTGTCTGTGTTGGTTTTGACATTCAGCTGATGAGACATAAAGAGGCATCCAGATTGCAGACTCAGCCACATGTATGCGTGTGTGTGATAGTGTGCGTGTGTGTGTCGCAGGTCTGTGCAATCCGCCAGCCAGCAGTAAATTATGTTTGAAGGTACCGACCGAGGAAGCAGAGTAGATCCTGACATCAGTCCAACTAACCACAGATTAAACACTGTGGTGAAAAAGAACCACAGCCTCAAATAAATACAGTTTAAATAGAGTTTCAATGCAGCCAAAAGTTTAATAAAAAGTGCATTTAGATTTTCAAATGATCAAAAATAGGACTCCACTGCCCTAAAACAGAGAGATTGATATACACTCAAATACCACTTTACATCCCTTTTATTCTAAAAGGGACTGTCTTAATTCTTCATGGCATAGATTCAGCAAGGTGCTGGAAACGTTGCTCTGAGATTTTGGTCCATATTGACATGACATCATAACACAGGTACTGCAGATTTATCGGCTGTAAGTCCATGATGTGAATTTCTTGTTCCACCACATCCCAAAGATTGCCTGTTTGATTGAGATCTGGTGATTGTGGAGCCAATTTGAGAACAGCTGACTCATTGTCACGTTCAAGAAAGCGGTTTGAGATGATCCGAGCTTCGCGACGTGGTGTGTCATCCTGCTGGAAGAGGCGTGCACGGGGACGAACATGGTCGGCAACAATACTCATGTAGGGTGTGGTGGTGAAACGGTGCTCATTTAGTACTAAAAGGGTACAAAGTGTGCCAAGACAATGTCCTCTACACCATTACACCAGCAGCAGCCTGAACCATTAACGCATGGCAGCATGTATCCATGAATTTTTATTTACACCAAATTCTGATCCTACCATCCTAATGTGAAAACAAAAACTGAGACTCAACAGACCAGACAACAATTTTACAGTCTTCTCTTGTCCAGTTTTGGTGAATTTTGGCCTCAATTTCATGATCTTACCTGATGAGAGTGGTACCCAGTGTGGTCTTCCTCTGCTGAAGGTCATCTGCTTCGAGGTTTGACGCCCTGTGCAAAACTTGGTTGTAACGAGTAGTTATTTGAGTTACTATTGCCTCGCTATCAGCTGTCACGTTCTTAAATCACCTCTTTTCTCCATTGTGATGCTCAGTCTTAACTTCAGCGCGTCATGTTCGCATGCCTAAATGCCTCGAGCTGCTGCTGTGATTGGCTGATTGGATAGTTCCTTTAATGAGGAGTTGAACAGGTGACCGGTGAGTGTACACACACATATAATGGCGAATGTGTCATAAGTCATTACACTATGAGCAGTTACAGAGGACTGGACTCTGGGAATATTTGCTCATGTCTGAGTAGATATCAGTGTTGTGACAATTTCTGCCAAACAGAGATGAATGCATTCAGGATTTTTAAAAATACTCTATCATTCTTTGTTATCGATGTGCCATCTTTCCATATGTGCCAAATATTTAGAAAATGTAAAAGAGCAGATGTAAATGGATACAAATAGTCATGTTTGTGGTCAAATTTCAGTGTTTTACAGTAGGAATGTAAATAAAACAGTATATAAGGGTAAGAGCATGGGAAGTGATTATAATTATTGTCAACAGGGACCGCTGATTAATAAAAAAGAAACTTAATGGTAAAGAATTTTCTTGCATAATTTCAAAATCAATAACGAACTGATTTACAGGAAATATCTTAATCTGTTTCCTTCATGGTGTCTGAAAATGAACTGACGTTAATGTGGCGAGGCCACGGGGAATTATTAAGTACCTGACGTCTGTGTGTTTCTGTGCATATGATCTGTGACTGTATTGACTCGCTGTACATACGACAGCATTACCAGTATGTGGAAATACCTTGTTTCTTGTTTCACAGGTGGCATTACAAACCACCCCTCATATCTTACACAGGGTACGCTCATCTCCGCGACGTCTGCTCGACTACCTTTTACTTCAGCTGTGATTACCGCGACTGTACTCGCCCACGCCGTAGGTTATCAAGCAACGAACTCTGTGGCAAAACAACAGGTTTGCCACATGAAGGATGCCTGAAGAAGGGTCATAAAAATAGACGTTGTTAAATTAAAAGCGTGACTAGTTATTTGCAGCATCGTCCTCTCAGCCTTATGTGATTTATGACAAGATGAAATGTGTACTGTATGTGTCTTCACAAATAAATATGTGGTATAACTCTGGCTTCTAGTTTACTTTTGCTCTGGGTCAACTAGATGCACTAACTTATAGGAATCTTCAGTTGTTATCTTTCTTTAGTATTCACAGCGGACACGGCAAAAGATGTTACTCTGTCTTTTCGTCAGGACATTTTTAATGCTTCTGCTTCTCCAAGCAAAAAGAAGCAGAAGAGAGAAATTGGTGGGGTGAACTACAGCTGAGGAAGAGGTAATAAAAGAAACAGGACAGAAGGAGAAGGCGAAGAGTTGGAGAGACACAGTAATACAGAGGGAATGTTCCCCTGTGGGTTTTTAACATCACCATGTGACAAACTGCACAGAGACTCAATGTTCAAACATTATTAAACACCACAGTGTTTTCTCTGGTGGGCTCGCTGCTCAGCTCTCCTGTCTTCTACCTCTGGGTTTCTTTATATTGGGGCTCCAGTTAAAGACCAGTGAACTGGAAACGAAGAATAGCCGAGTAATTAACATTTAAGTCACTTTTAAAACAGATATTAAAATTTTGTTTTTCCAGCTTCGATACTGGGATGATTTACTGTTTGTCTCATGTGGTGAAAGAGAATCAGAATGGTTGGTAGGTTTACATCACTGTCTTCACAGTTTTGCAGAATTTCTGAGGGTCTTTAAAAACTTCTCTATTGACATTTGGACACTCCAGTCCTTGTACCTGACCTTTATCTGGAGAATGTCTGTTGTTTGTTAAGTGGCTTAACACAGACCCGTGAACCATTTAAGCACAAAGAGCTACCTAACTCAAGGGATGAACTTAGCAAAGAGCCAGTTTTAAATTGTGTCTTAAGGCACTTTTTTCATTTGCAGCCTGTCGCTAAAGCACATCATTTGTTCCCATTTCTTTAGCTGAAAAATACCAAAGACAACACAGCTTGACAGACATAAAGTAGTATTTTTTGACCAGCAGGGCTATTCCCAAAGAGCTATCATATCTCAGCGTGGTTTGCAGTGTCTCCTTGCAACTTTGAAGAACAAGTGGAGGACAAAATTAGAAGTTGCAGGACTAAAACTCTATCTACAGCGAGGGAACAAATCCAGCAAAGACCTGACACAGGATCTGAGAGATGCATCTGTGCCTTCAGTTGATCCAGCTGTTGTTCAGAAATCCTCTCAGTGGAAGTGGCTGTTGTTTTACAACATCACTGAAAAGCCGTGATTATTGGAAAGTTATTTTATTGTAAAAAAAAAAAAAAAGTCATACTCGTGTGATTCACAAAAGACGAGACAAAATATTTCAGTTTTCTTTAAATTATTAAGCCACTATGCTGTATGTCCACTGAACAGAATATTAATGGGCACGCAGTAGGAAAGTAAAACAAACTCGATCAACCACAGACTGTAAACCCGATAAATATAAAAATTGGGAGTGTTTTGTGTTGTTTTTCAGTGTTTCGGCAGAATCTTCTCCTCATCCTCATCCAGGAACTCATCTATAAACTCGACCACCTCCCCCTGCAGACACAAACACGAAAAAACAATGACACAGAGACAACTCAGGAGGGGCTGTTTTGTTTCAAAGCGAGGTTTTTTCCACTAAGTGGATTACCATTAATCCTCACACTCGCAGTTTTATCTGTGATTTCTCATATTCTGCATTACTGAAGAGATTACAGTCAGTAACTGAATAGTATTTACCACGTACAGCATGTAATCCTGGCTTATGGGTTGGCCTGATGGCCACACTTCTTGTGCTTGCAGTAAAATAACTTAAAGAAAAATGATGCAACACTGCCACCTCATGGCTGTCTGTGATATTGCAGTCTAATAAACACTGGACACATTGTACTGAAGGTCATCATGTGACCAGCCTGAGGAATCCAGGGTTTTCCCAGTTACACAAGCTCACAGATGCAAACAGTGCAGTCCAAACTGTGATTTAATGGGAATTATGTATTTCTATTTTTATGCATAGACTGCATCTTATGTTCACTTCACTTGACCTAAGATAACCTCCCGCCTGGAAAGATCCTTTGATACAAACCACGCACCTCATCGTCGCTGGCCAGACGCTGTTTGGAGAACTCCAACATCTGAAGCTGCATGGTGGTCTGATTGTAGTACCGGACTGCCTCCTGCAGGACAACAGTCAAAGAAATGATGAGTGTCAGAGAGACCCAAAGACTCAAAAGCGGGGAAGAAACCAATAAGTCCTCTTTAGGATGTGTGTGTTTCTGTGACAAAGCAATAAACATTTTATAGGAACAGTTATACTTTTTTTAAAAATTACTGGTATATCAAAAATACATTCAGCTGGCCGCCTGCCCTCAGCTTAGATCTGTCAGAGGGTTCTTCCTGTTAAAAGATTGTTTTTCTTTCCTACTGTTGCCAAGCGCTTATTCAAAAGGGTTCGTTTAATTGTTGGGGTTTCTTTGTATTATTGTAGGGTCTTTATCTTACAATCTAAATCACATTTAGGGGACAGTTGTTGTGATTTGGTGCTATATAAATTCAGTTGAATTAAGTTAAACTTTGTTCAATAAAATTTTACTTATAAAACCTTCTGCTTTCTTGGATGGGCTGTTAGAGAAATTACCTGCACAAAAGGTAAATGCTACAAAATACACCAACACCACAATCATGACTGAGAGGTCAGCTGTGGTGAAGCCCAGCAGACAGCTGCTAACTACAGCCACCTCTGTTGGCCACAACCGTAATAATGCAGAAGCATTTTATTTCCCAGGCTGTAAACATGCTTTTTAACAAGGTAGTCCATGGCGCTGATCTCACTTTTAGAGCCAACCTCAAGTGGCTGCTGGAGGAACTGCAGTTTTTGGCACTGATGCATTTTTATATCTGTTTTTAACAATAAACCTGCATATGGCAAATGGCTTACTATATGAACTTAATTAACATTAAACGCTTGAAACAGGGTGGAAACTTCCAGGATTCACTCATGGGCACCTGTGAAAATCAATAAGAACACAGATACCCTGCAGTGCACAGACTTGTGCCCTGCTAGGCTTCATATTTGCGAACAGATCTTTTCAACAACTTTTAGGTAAAAAGGCTAATAAACATGCGTCCAAAAATGTGAAATAAGTCCTTCAGGGACTTGTCATCATCATCATAACAAAAACATAAATAAATAAAACAAGCTTTTTAAATAAATCCACAATATGCTTTCCCAGGCTGAGATGCATCAATCAGGTGTGTGCATATTCTGTGAACATATCTGAACATCACTCACTGATCTGGGGAGGAAATCCTCATCTATCAGCCCCCACTTGCTTTTGTGGAACTTGTAATACTCCACGTTGTTCTTCATGACTTCATCATTGGGGTCAAACAGCAAGTAGCTGGTTGCACACGGCACTGCGTTCTTCAAGTCATTCACTGAAGGCAAAGTCACAGTCAAACGCCAGCAAACGAACCTCAGAAATTCGAAAGAGAAATACTTCTCTGCTCAAAGCTGCCAGCTGAGTACTACTCACGCTTGTAGTAGGCGAACTGCAAGTAGTGGTACATGGTGGCCACAAACTTCTCAACAACATAACCGCCAACAACAGGTGTCAGGTCGCTCTCACACCCGGCCTTCCTCTCCAGCACTTCCATGTAGTGGTCTAAACAGAAAATAAGTTTAGGCCTTCAATAAACAGTCATGACTGCACATGAGATGGACATGAGCTGACCAGCTATCGAGGGGTAGAAGTCTTTAAAATCTCTGATGTCCCTCGGTCCCTCAGACGCAGCCAGACACTCGTCGTAGACCTTGAAGAAGTCCCTCAGTGCCAGCTCCATGTCTGACACCGAGGTACGGAAGTTTTCGCCATTGTACGCCCTCACGGCACGTATAAATAAGGTCTGGGATACCACAAGAAAAAAGGATTTGAAAACACAATCCAGAGTGTTAATGCAAACTTTGATGAAGGACTCAGTATTAATCATTTTCAACACTATGATTATCTTCTGTCTGAAATCTTTGACAAGTAATGGTTGCAGACTCTCTTTTTCCACCTTCCCACGCTTGTATTTTACATAACAACGCTAATAAATATCAAGACATATGAAATTTTGTAGCGTAAAGTAAAGTGGATGTAGCCACTGAGGCCGTGCCAAGGATGCCTTAAAGTCCTCAGACCAAAACTGGCAAGTTCATATTCCCAGATATGCCCGTTTGATCTGCACGACCACAGGCTGCTTCCACGTCAGGGCACCCACAGAGCCAATAACAGAGTGGGCTGCATGCCACATGGGAGTGACACCTCTTGTGGATAAAAGCCTCGAGAAATCAGAAAGGATCAAAATGAAAGCGTGCCTCACTGTGTTTAAAGCATGTATCTGTGCCTACCTCGTAGGATTTGGTCTCCAGGTCTTTCAGGTGCTCCTCGGCTCCAGGCAGACTCTTGTAGTAGGCCATGTTTCTCTGCATCATCTCATCATCCGGGTGTTTCAGGAGGAAGGTGTGGGCAGCAGACACCGCCTTGGCCAGGTTGTCAGACTAGAACACAAAAACACACATTAAAATGATTTGTTTTTGTGCTGGTCAGTAAAGAAACCACACAAAGCCTATGGTACTAACCTGAAATGAAATGAGTGTCACATGCAGCAGTAGATTTACTTGTAAGAGTGATGTCATTTATCAGTTATCAGCTGATGTTTGTCTTCACTTATTAATCTGTTTAAATCACCAAAACTGACCACAACTTATATTGTTGGCAGTGTGTTGACCCCTGTTGTTTCCTCATCACTGACATCTGCTTCAACTTCAACTGTATATAAAGCACTATAATTATAATTATAAATATAACTGCATACAATAAAGTTGAATTGAATTGATATATAGTAACTATATATTTATTACATTGATTCCAACATCTTTGATATAAAGATGATGTGCTATTAATGTCTGTGTCACGGTGTAGTCCTGTAACTTGTATATGTAAACATACCTCGTCAGTAAAGCTGATTCTGATTCCTCACACACATCTCCACTCTCATGCACATCTTACTTCACGCTCCGTTACTGCTGCATATTTTTAATTATTTTAGATTAATAGATTACTTTGCGAAACTGATGCAAAACAGTGTGTCTTCCCCCTTTTTTGGCATTGCCCTATGAGCTTAGTTGTGGCAACTGGGAGTTCAATATGATGTGATTACATTAGTTTCTATTAAAATGAAACTTTTCGGTGACCCCTTGGGACATGTGGAGGAAATCACCAGCATGGAAATGTTAAAAATACAATAACTATATTGACTAACACTTCCACATGGGATCATCTGCGTTTGTCATGTTTCTCAGCTTCCTGAACTATTCATAAATTTGCTTTAACAGTCGACTTTCTGTGACCATGCTGTGCGTGTAAAATTGACGATTCTAAGATGTCCTTTCCTTAAAAATGGACCATAAACCACAAGAGTTTAGTTCTTACAGCAGACCCCCAATTGTGCATCCGTGGCACGTAGATGACGTCAAAACGCACGTCGGGGAAAAATCACGACCATAGTTAAATAAACCATTATCACTGGGTAAAGAAAGTTTGAGACTCCAATCTCATTTAGGGGACCCCTTCGAGGCCCCCTCCTTATTAGTTCTGCTTACTTTGAAGTAGGCATATTGAAGGTATTTGTACGGCTCCCTCCTCTCAAATTCATCTATAGTGTCCCGGCTGGGCATGGTCTGCCTGAAAGCGGGTAAGCCCTGTTTGCAGCGCTTCAGACACTGCGCTCTTTTCATAACGTTTCCAAACGCCTGCAGCTCTGGAAACTCCGCAAACCTCTGCTCGTCCTCCAGCCTCACGGAGCTGCAGTTAAGGTTGCAGAAGGCCTCGCTGTCCCGCAGCAGCCGGTAGAGTCGCAGAGACACCTCCATGTACTCCACCGTCTCCTTCCACTTCTCCCCGGTGTACTGATCCAGTGCATATTTGTAAGCGGACTCCAGAGGCATGAGCTCATGCCTGGGGAAACTCCTGAAGCTGTATTTCTCATACTGGGAGTTCACCGCGGAGACGAAAAATGCGACTAATAAGGCAGAAAAAAGCTGGGAAGCAGTGGAGGTAGCCATTTTTGAGGCTGGAAAGAGCTGGAAGGGTAGGCTGTTGAGCGTGGGTCTATAGGCCCGCCTCAAGTTCCACCACGTATCCAGACAAAACCTCCCCTCCCACGGGCACGGGGCTGGCAAGATCGCTCCGTCCAGTGGGAGCTACTGGAGGTGCTCCTCCCATTAAATTACAAAAGTAAAACTTTACAGTTGTTCGGATTTTCACATTACAACTGAAAAACCGGGCTGAAAATCTACATTTCATAACTTTTATTAGGGAAAGCATGAATTCAAAAAGAGTGTATTTTACCCGAAGGATTTGAGTATTTACCGTCTGCTTTACTTTTTTACAATATTTTTTTCACATTTAAAGCTTGAACCTCTTTCTTGCCTAATTGAACCCCCGGTGAGATTGTCCCCCCTCCACCTCTTCTCCTCCCACTGCCACGTAGAAACATTCCTGCTCTGTCTGCCTCCCCTCCAAAAACCTGAACACCACCAACATAACTCTATCTGTGCGTAAAGTCAGCAGCAATCGTTATGCGTGCTGCTTATTCTTACGCTTTGACTATAAATCAGAGGCGTAGCCAGATATGCAGATATTGTTTTTTTTTTTTTTATGGATCCAGGTGGATGTGTCCGCATCTGTTTGGAGACCCCAATGTTTCCACGTTGACACATAACTCGGGCAGCACTGCGCAAGAGCAAAGCGCGGTGCCCCAACTATCCCATTCAATTGCAAAGGGCGTTAAGTCAGCTGGAGCGAAACACGGAAGTAATACGTCACTGTGTCAAAATAAGAGTCTAATTTTCTAATCTAATATTGTGTGTTTTTTGCTTGTGTGGCACAGAGATATTGGACCACACGTTTCAACCTCTTGTATTTGGGTTTTATTAACAATGCGTCACATTTAGACGAATAGTCAAAGTTTTACTTGTAATATTCAAACCGGATGTAGTGCGGCTTTTTCTCTGGCTTGACACGTGATCAGTCCTATGCTGGAACCAGAAGCAGGACTTGTGTCCAAATCGGAGTAGAGGAAATCAAAGCACCGGGGGACAGGGAGTCAGCGGGCACACAGGCAGGCCGTACCCACAGTTACCTCCATCGTCTCAAATCGTTCTCCTCGGTCACAATGATCAAGTGCGCGCAAGGGGTGTTGTATCTCTCGGTTCTGGTGACGTTCGCCGCCTGCAACGCTCCTCCGGTACCGTTAGACGACATCCTCATTGAGAAAACCTCCGTGCCAGAGCAGTGTGTGCGCGCGGTCAAAGTGGGAGATTTTGTCAGGTATCACTACATCGGCACGTTTCCAGACGGCAACAAGTTCGACTCCAGGTGAGTGTCTCACATCTGCATTATTTCCCTCTCACTTTAGCACCTTTGCGTTTAGAAGACCGGCTGCACGGTCCGAGCAGCGTGCGCGATGCGTAAAAGTGCGCGTTTAGTGGTTCGCCCCTGTGAGCCACGCAGGCAACCAGACAGCCTGAGCTCTGGTGCTTAATCTCAGGGTCCAAAACTGTTTTTGTGTCGTCTGGAAAACAGACGGTAACAGGGATTACACAGGACCCCGATCTGAGAGATAATTTAGTTTCAGTTTTCAGTTTTATTTGTCATATGCAAGTTAGCACAGGGTCAGTTAAACTAGTTTTTGTTTTATGCAGATGCTTCTTCCACGACCTTTAAAGTCCCCCGAACTCCACTTTGCAAACCACTGACAGTGAAAATGTCTTGCACAGTGGTCAGCTGGGCAGACACCCAAAGCCCCACATACACTGTCACATTTGATTTACTGCACAATTGATTACAGCATAAACTATGATGCACTCTGCAGATTAAGATAACACCGTGGCCCAGTTTTAGTGAGAAATAGACTTACATTTTTGCACAAGAGTCTTTATGTTAAATCTTTAGAAATAAAAGGCTGTTAAGATGTTGAAATATGAAAAAGAAAGGCAGTCACTTTAAAAACCTGAAGTCATTGCCTCAAAGGAAATGTGATTAAAGCCAGGGAATAAAACGATTCATGTTACACAGCAACATCCTCATAGATAATTCCCTGACAGTCTGTTTTTGTGCATGTTTTAGTTATGACCGTGGCAGCACGTACAATGTCTTTGTTGGCAAGAAGCAGTTGATTGAAGGGATGGACAAAGCTCTCGTGGGAATGTGTGTCAACGAGAGAAGACTGGTGAAGATCCCACCTCAACTCGCCTACGGAAAACAAGGCTACGGTGCGTATGTCTGAATGTGTGCCAAACTCATATCAGCACATTGCTGTCCTATATGACTGATTGTTTGGAATGAGAACAAAACTTCTGTGCCAAACTCTGGGACGTTAGGGCACAGACTGGTGTTTATCCCTCTGTAGTTACTATAAATATATCTCTGGCAAAGCTAATCATAACAAAGAGAGATCTTGGTGGGATATTTGCAGGAGCACAAGGCGGAGAAGTTACAGTCTTTGATGAATGCTCTGACTTTTGTTCTGTTGAAGTCAGTGGAAGCAAAGAGGAAGTGGGCTGCCCCTAAGCATCCATGTTGAATGATGTCAGAGGGGCATCACAGACCAGGAAGCAGACCAGAGGAAGCCGCTGTGGATTTTCAGCTGTGAATGTTTCTGCATCAGCTGCAAGCAGATACACTGTCACGTCATTAGTGTGTGTGTGGAAATGAAAAAAACCTGGGCCATTGTTCAGAAATCAGTGTGTTTGTGTGAGAAAATGCATATATTGTGGGAGTCACAGGATGTGAAGCTATGTTTACAAGAAGAGAGAGGTGTGTATATTTGAGAAAGAGCATGAAATATTTCTATCCCATTATCTAATGGGAAAGAGAGAGAAAGAGCGGGCATGTGTAGACAGGTAAAGGCTGAGGCTGTGTCCTCTACCGCTGCCTGTTTTAGAGGGATCAAACAAGGAAAAAGAAAACAGAGCGCTGAGATAGACGGAGCACTCTGAAGTGGTAGAGGGAAAATTTTGCCAGAAGAGACTGCCAACTCATCAGTAGTAAAATCACAATGGCTACCACACACTCAGGCCCTCCATCTCCTCCTCCCGTCCCCTTACCTTCGCTTTCTTCACTTTACATCCATATCTTCTGTCTGCTCACAAAGCTTCTGTGAAACAGTAGAAGAATATTTGAAGAAGCCTATTTCTGCTACTGAAAAACAAAACAAAACACATTTTTGCCATTCATATCTCAAAATCTCAACTTACTAACTCAAACTCATGAAAAAATGACTTGAAATATTGAGCTATTACATCAAAACTTTTAGATAATAACACGAAATTTTGAGTTATGGGTGACAAAAACTAGATTTTTGTTTCCGGCTTCCACAGAGAAGTGAAGCAGAGACTCCAGAGAAACAGTTTATACCTGCAGTTTATAACGTGCAGAGAACAATCACATTTACACACATACAGTGGGGCAAAAAAGTATTTAGTCAGCCACCGATTGTGCAAGTTCCCCCACCTAAAATGATGACAGAGGTCAGTAATTTGCACCAAAGGTACACTTCAACTGTGAGAGACAGAATGTGAAAAAAAAATCCATGAATCCACATGGTAGGATTTGTAAAGAATTTATTCGTAAATCAGGGTGGAAAATAAGTATTTGGTCAATAACAAAAATACAACTCAATACTTTGTAACATAACCTTTGTTGGCAATAACAGAGGTCAAACGTTTACTATAGGTCTTTACCAGGTTTGCACACACAGTAGCTGGTATTTTGGCCCATTCCTCCATGGCGGAGTTTGGAGTCTGACTGTTTGAGGCTGTGGACAGGTGTCTTTTATACAGATGATGAGTTCAAACAGGTGCCATTCATACAGGTAACGAGTGGGGGACAGAAAAGCTTCTTACAGAAGACGTTACAGGTCTGTGAGAGCCAGAGATTTTCCTTGTTTGAGGTGACCAAATACTTATTTTCCACCCTAATTTACAAATAAATTGTTTACAAATCCTACCATGTGGATTCATGGATTTTTTTTTCACATTCTGTCTCTCACAGTTGAAGTGTACCTCTGGTGCAAATTACTGACCTCTGTCATCATTTTAAGTGGGGGAACTTGCACAATCGGTGGCTGACTAAATACTTTTTTGCCCCACTGTATTATATACACTCACCAGTCAATTTATTAGGTACACCTTGCTAGTACTAGGTTGGACCATCTTGTGGCGCCAGAGCTGCCTAAATGTTTTGAGGCATAAATTCAACCATGTGCTGGAAACATTTGCGAAAGACTTTGGTCCATATTGACATGATAACGTCACAAAGCTGCTGCAGATTTGTTGGTCACGCATCCACGATGTGAATGTCCAGTTTAACTTAACTAAAAATTTCAGCTACAGGAAAGAAATCAAATCAAAAGGAAGGTTAAAACACTTAAAACTGAACAATATCAGGATTTCCTGTAAAAGCTCATCAGAAAAACCAGAATCGATTGTTTATTTAATCCAGATATCCCACTGCAGAGTTTAAGAATCACCTGCCGTCCTCTCCTCCACAGGTGACATCATCCCTCCTGACTCCATCCTCCACTTTGACGTCCTGCTCCTCGATGTGTGGAACCCCGAGGATGGCGTCCAGACAAACACTTACCACACGCCCTCCGTCTGCTCCAGAAAGGTGGAAGTGTCTGACTACATCCGCTACCACTATAACGGCACGCTGCTGGACGGGACCCTCTTTGATTCCAGGTTTGTCTCGTACAAGCTGTCATTCATGCATCAATCCACCTGCACACTTACAGCCTGTTTTCGCCACTCTCTGCTGCAGTCACACCCGCATGAGGACCTATGACACTTACGTCGGGATCGGCTGGCTGATCGCCGGTATGGATCAGGGTCTTCTGGGAATGTGTGTTGGAGAGAGGCGCATCATCACTATGCCCCCATCACTTGGATATGGAGAGAATGGAGATGGTGAGTTTTGATGTGATTAGTTCCTTAAAGTCTTCTGTCAGACTGACGACCTGTCTATGGCGTACCCCGTCTCCTGCTCTACGACAGCTGGGATAAGCAGTCAAGAAAATAGACGGATGGATTTCCAGTTTCTTCAAGTTTTACTACAAACACTAGAATTTAGGTGAAAAGAAGCAGCTGCACT